GGTGGGGGGGGGGGGTAATTATACGCCAAGTTTGGATACCGTGAACAATTTATTTTGCTCTGTGACTCTCCGACGTGGAAACATTCAAAAGTGAGTAACATCACTGGAATCCGTGACGTGTGTCAGACGTTTAACAATACTGTATCAAGTACTGGAGCTGAAAATATTGGCATTAAAACATGCAAATCCATAGGTGTTATTGTTTACGTGAGAAAAAGTCTGTTTCATAAGGCGTCTTAGCGCTTTCCACAATGGTAAGTGCATGACCCAGACTGTGCTGAGACGCCGAAGTTCGAGGGCCCTTCCCGACGAAGACAAAGTCTAGTCAAAACCGATATTACGAACTTGGTCGCCTCCCCACAAACTTTTCGAGTCGCAGCTGGAGAAAGGAAACCCTGGCAAGTGAGACGCTGTGTTCCGACAAAAGAGGGCCTTGTGTTTGCTACGGCGATTAAATACAAATAAAATGAGACCTCCGCGCTAAAAAAAGTATTACGACTTTTTGTTTCTCAGAACGATAACAATTACAGCTTCTTGGAAAACCGTGCGTTTGTGTTCGCGTCTTGGTTTAGCCTTTCACGGCGAACAATACAAGAATAATGGTTATGCTCGGGAGAGCTTTGGCCCACTAATTTAAGGGTCAGAGTTCGCTGAAACCACACAAACGACAGAATACATTTATTCCTTATTTCGTCCGAAGTTCGTGACGGATTGACACTTAAAACCGACGTTCACTAAAAAAAAATTAGATTTATCAAAACGAAAAGATGCACAAGTGTTTGGATCACATTAAAACGGATCTCATAGAAAAAGACTTAGCCAAAAGGACACAGGCCTGCCTCCTACAAACACAAAAAACACAAAAGAAGTTTCTTCTACTTGTGTCTGAATATATTACTGGAATGAAGACGTTGGAGCGCTCCAGAAAAGTTCAATTTTCGGGAAGAGTAACCCTTTGACACAAACCTTGTTACCTCGGTCACCAGTTGACTCATCACCAGCAAAGAGGGCAGTCGGTCGGTTGAACCATCGTGCAGGTACTTAGTGCATAACAGTTGCTCAGCTGTTCAAAATATTCTTCGGCTTTTATGGTACCCAAAGGTGTATTAACATGTTCACAAAAGGATTCTATTCAGGACTGCCTACCCGGGGCTACGCTCATCGACATTACGATGCACGAAATAGTTCAAGAAGGAAAAATGCCACAAATCACAGTAAAGTGCATTAATTTCAATGAAATCTCAAGATGAAGTTATAAGCGGCCACAACTACGAAATATTACACATGAAGTCGGACTGGGACTGATTCTTAGAACGACCTACCAATAGGAACCATCTTATCAACACGATAATAAAACTTTCGAATTCCGTAAAAGGCGTGGAGTTTCCGGATTAGATGAGCACCTGTCAGCTTATCAATACGTCTGTTCCATGGATGTATAACAACACATGTGCAATCTCATGTTCCGCTGAGACACAAAATAAATCCAGACCAGGAAAAAAAAAATCATGAGCAAAAATAACTATTTGGCAGAACGGATAACAAAGCCACAGAACCACGACACTTCGCGTCCAACGCCACTGCTAAGAGACAAAGGCGCGTGGTGTTCAGACCTTGGAAAGAGATTGAAACGTGTGATTCAGGCAGGAATATCCATCCGGCGACAGCCATCTCACCCCTCCGGCATCAGCCGCGCCAAACTCGAGGTGAGGAGTTTCCCTTCTGTCCCAACGTTACTCCATCGCCGAAGCCAGATTTTCTGTCTCTGTGCTACGGGAACTGTACACAGGGCCCAGCGTTGCTCGTCACTGCCTTTTCCAATCGGGACGGAGGCCCTCCTAGTTCGACACGGGAGGTGCGCGAGTTTTTGATTTCAGCAATTCATGATAACTGATTTGGCCTGCGCCCCCAGTACCCGCTCTAAATGACTTCTTCCATTTGCGTCATGTTAAACACATTGTTTGCGTCTAGCGTCTGTCTAAACTTCCGCAAAAGCTTAGTGAAGCTGTATCTGCCTCAATGAAACCAGAGATGCTTAGCAACGCCCGGCGGAGACCTTTGCCGTCTTCACGTGGACATCAGCAAACTCTGAGCTGCTAACAAGTGAACACGCAATTCTTCTGCACTTCAGTGTCGGGTGGGCAAACCTCAACTAAACATTTCCTCCCACACGTTTACCCAGCGACGGTGTGCAGACTAACGCACTGATGAAGGATTTTCTGAGTTTCCTCCCTTAATCCTGCACGTTACTTCACTAATTGCCTTCTCTGACTCGCCAATAAACTGGCTGTACAGTCACATTCAGTTAGTCAAATAACATTATCGGTTCTAAAGGCAGACATGATTTATCTTCCTGCAAGTCCAAACGGTGTTTCTCCCCAAAGGACAAAAACATCTGAGTTTCTCACGGCGCTGAATCTG